TTATGGACCTGTTCACGAAACGAGTTCATCTTCATGAGGAGCAGACTAAGTGCGCGGACATCTTGAAAAATCAAAATACTGTGGTAAGTCCAGGAGACGGCGCCACCTTGACAGGTATTCATGGTTATTCTTTTAGATCCTCCGTGATGAGCTAAGATCGATGAAGCGTGTCTTGCGTCGGCTGGGCTTCGTGGATAGGAATAATGTGGTCCTCGAGAAGGTGGAGGCGGCCTGCTGTTGGGACGCCTTGTTAGTGTTGTTGGTTGTAGGGCAAGTTGGCTTGTGAGATTTCCTCGTGCGACGAGATCCTCCTCACTGAATTGGTCTTTAACAACGTCTTTGAAGGGATGTCGGTAGGTCTCCTCATCATCATTATTTAGTGACACTTCTGGTCCTGCCAGGCTGAGCATATCGCCGCCCTCTGTTCGTGTTTGATCCTGGACGAGAAGTCGGAAGATGCCACGTAGGGGCTGCTGGGTGATTTCGATACCGCACTTTCGTCACATCATCAGGACGCCCGAGAACGCTGATTTGGCGAAGGCTTTGGACAAAATGAAGGTCATTGCTCAGGACGTGGCCACAGTGATGGCGGTACCTACCAGGAGTCGTCGGTGAGGCAGTATCTCGCCCTTGTAGGAATGCAAAGTGGCTGGGGTCGACACCAGCACGTACGTGGAGGACCACATACGACCGCAGCTGGTCCCAGCAGTCGTGGCTTGGATGGAGGGGAAGCCTTTCAAGGACATCATGCAGACCGTTGAGATGTACGAAGGCAGCGTCGTCCGAGTCATGAGGCGCCTTGAGGAGCTACTGAGGGAACTAGGTAAGTGGTCGTAGGTTGTGAGGTTTGTAATAATGGAGTTGTCCTGATAGGAATGGCGGCTAAGTTGATCGGCCACAAGGAGTTGGAGGAGAAGATGGTCGAAGGCCGGACTAAGCTGCGGAGAGGCATTGTATTCAGCGCTAGTCTGTAGGATGGGGGAGGCGCCATGTAGGGCACGCGCTGACGTGTTCTGAGTAGGTACTTGTAGAAATACTGATACCATCTCGCGGCCTCATCGTGGCTTGGTTTCGAGGACCCCCGCGCTAAACGTTCATTACCTTTCCTGATCTACCTCTATAACCTTTCGTGTGTGTTGTGTTGGTCAGTCTCGGCTTTCGAGTGGGGTTCACATTGTAATCTTATGGCACCGCATAGAGAGCAGAGCTATGGTTATATGGCCCTATAAAGAGCACCGTCGGGGCGTCCCTTTTATCATCAGGAGTTGTATGCTCAGAACTCCCATCGCAGACACGGTCCCTCGGAGCTTGCCGGGTGACTATTTTGCCCTGCAGATCTTTTTCTATGTCCTCGACGCCTCCCTCCCCTACGCCGACTCCTACGAGCTGAAGTACGCTGGCTTGTCTACCTCCGTCTAAGGAACGTGGCCACTGTGATCGTCGCTGTTTGTAATTCATCATCATGGTCCTCTTGGTGCCTCTCTAAAGCTGCGGCTAATGTTGTCCTTGTGTCTTTTCTGGCATTTTGCACTGGTCCAGTATTCCTCGTCGCCCTTGGAGGCGTCATAGTATTCAACCTACCTCCTGCCAATAGTTGAAGGTCTATACGGCTCGATGTGTGGCCAGAGAGATGGTCTTACCACTGACGGGCTGGGCATAGCCCTTTGCTGGAAGATCGTGCTCCTCCTGGTCTTCGCTGGCTTGCTGTCGAGTTCGATGGTCCTCATCAGAGTACCTGAGCAGAAGGGACGTTGGCTTGACCCCATACTACTACTAACAACCTGAGAGCCGTTGTGTGCTACTTGCATTACCATTCCTCTCCTTAATCGCATCGGATGTTTCCTATGACGCATGCCGCCGTAGCTCAAGTCATCGTCCTTATCACCGATGGGTCCTGGTGGGGTATACCTGATCATCGCCCTGTGATCTTCGTAGCGAGTGGTATGCACTCGGCGGTGTCTGCTCTCCTAGTCCAGTCTAGCTGCACATAGGGCATTGAGTGGTGTCTCTGTTGCCATCTGGCTGGGCATATCCTCCTAAGTGGACAACACCATCATAACTAGTGGGTATTGATGATGAGGAGTCGATTGTGATTGATGGTGACCTGATGGGAATCCCCGAGATGTCAGTGGTCCCTCCGAGAGGTCCAGTAGAATACAGCTGTGGCCGGCCCTGACGGAGCATTGGGGTCGGTCGTATTAGTTCTACGTTGTTTATATTTCTATCCGAGTAGAATTGACATTGTTTCCATACCCCCTCTCCTGAGTCGAATTGTTCCCTCCTCCCGTATCATCTGCTCACGTCCAACGAGTTTCTTTCTTCCCTTGAGGTCGTCGCTATAAAGGACTCCGTCGAGCATGCAACAGGGCGCGCGGGCCTACGACACTGTAGAGGAGGTCCTCGAGGAGCTCCACGATGACGGCGTCGTCTGTGACGTTTGCCTTATACAAGACCAGGACGATGAGGTGTGCTCCCATTGATCACCTCAGCCGTGCTCAGTATTGCATCCCAGGACGGCAACCCGAACCTCATCCTTATCTGTGACGCCTGTGAAGCCGCGGTCCACCAGGATTGCTATGCGTGAGTTCCTCCTTCCCACTGTTGGGCCGGCGAGGTGTTGCCTTCCTTTCAGTATAGCGCGCGTGCCCAAAGGAGCATGGTATTGCGACTTCTGCACATACGCTCGAGAGAACAGCCTCAGTAAGTCGACGTATGCCACCGTCTGTGAAATTCAGTATCAGGCGAGGAGGAGGCGAGGAGGGAACGACAATGTTTGTTGTGTCCGCGGCGAACGGGGGCTCTCCTCAGGATCAAAGGTGGCATGTAAGCTCATGCTTTGTCGCATCAACCGCTACTGATTCTCGGTCGTAGGTTTGGAGGGTATTGGATCCACGCCGCCTGCGCTTGGTGGATACCCGAGTGCAGCATTCAGGAGGGGAGATACGGGTGAGGTCAAGCCCCTGCCACGATGAGGAGGAGGACGATGATGTCAATTGACAGGTACATATCTTTGGACGCGGCCTCTATGCGGAATCTACAAGAAAGGTAAGCTGCTTATCCTCCCCTTACCGAACTCCATTACCTCGATTGGAACCCACGAGGACCAACACAAGGCTCTGTCGCCCGCCGTCAGTAACTGCCAATTAGGACTACTTGATCTCACTTAAGCGTGTGCAACAACTTTGCCGGGAACTCGTCAATGTCTAAGTTCGGGCTGATCAATGGTGTTGTTCTCAGATTTGAAGCGGTCTGTGATGTCTGTCGTCTCCCTCATGTTGGAGCTGTACTTCAGTGCTCCGCAAAAGGCTGTTACCGAGGCTTCCACGTCCCCTGTGCACGTGCTATGAACTATGCTCTCGATCTAGTAGGTAGGCATATCTTTTCTGGGGAATCTTGAGGTTGAGCGGAGAGGATACGGAATAAGTCCCTTTGTAGCCGAAGCTGATCACATACACGACGACGAGGAGGGTGATATCATCCTCCCTCTGAAGGCGTACTGCGATAAACACCGTCACGAGGCCTATCCTGACGAGCCCCGCTTCAAGCGATGGGTGAGGACTCATCCCGGCCTGGTTGGTCCCCATCGTATCATCTTCAGAAGTCCGATCAGCAACAACGCGTCTGCTACGTACAGAATTTGATCAATCGGAATCGTACAATACTCATCGATATGAGACAGAACCTCAAGGACCGCAGTAGATGGGCACTGCTGATAAACCAAATGCTCCTCCAAGTGACTAGTCACCACTCCCTTTGGCCCCTCATCGCTGCTTTTTAGGAATTCGATGGTAACGCGAACG